TGTATATTCTTTTTATTCTAAAATGTTAATTTTAAAACCTGTAGTTTTGCAGTTGTAAATGCATTTTGCCCCACTTAAAAACTTAACTCTCAGGTCTTTGCAAGTTCTGCTTCATATTCTGCTACTCTTTGTTCCTGAATACTACTTTTTAAAGCTCGGAAATATGTAAATAGTGTCATTCCATGTTAAGAAATAAGAAATTTGAAAAGATTATTTTGCTTAAATCTAATAAAGGTTATGTCTTAACAGGTGGCAGCACTTGAATGACCTTGTTTGGGCTTAAAAGTTAAGCAGGATTAGTACTAGGCTACTGACAACTCTGGGTGAGATTTTAAGTCAAAAAATGAAGAAACAAAAGGAAGGAATTACAAACAACTTCTGTAGAGTATTTCTGCCAAGAAAACTACATGGATGTGTCCATTTAGTTGGTAGGAGTAGAGCTTGATTGCAAAGAACTATTATCTTTCCAAAGCCATGAATTAGATTATTGTTTATTGGATTATTTCTTTTTACCTTCACAATGTTTTTTTTTCTCTTTTTGTAAAACGTTAATTTTGAAATAAGTGGGGATTTGGCCAGTGAAAAGTAGCAATGTATCTGAACAGGTGATAATAAATAGAGTAAAATATCATAGTATAAAGATAGTATAAAAAAGTATAGTATAAAGAAATCTGGTGATGCCAATGCTTGTATGCAAACTCTTGAGTTCAATCCTGAGCTAAAAATTATGTACATATAATCCATGGACACAGCAGTTTTCATGGGTATCTCCATCATACTATTTTTTGTGGTATATTTCCGGAATATTCTAAGGAGAATATTGGTAAAACTAGGAATTCAGCAAGGAGATGATAGCAGTGGAGAAAACTTTTTTTTATTATTTAACTTGATCCCACTCAAGTAGAGAAAGTAAAAAGGATAACATGACAAACTTGGCAGACACTACACATCCTCTTCACAACCTGTTTTCCTTGTTACCTTCTGGGAGGAGGCTTTGAGGCTTTCAGCCAGAGTTTCATTCCATACAGCATTAACCTTGCGAACTCTCAAGCTTCCTCCTTCCGTTATATATTCAAGATGGACAATATTTAATATTTATTTGCTACGTATATGTAGAGATGTGGATCTATACATATGTTGTTCATAGTATGTTTAGGTGTGTGTCATGTATGTATTTTACTTTGAGAGCGGACAACTAAATTTCATTTTTGATGTGTGCCATTGTGCCCACAGTATAAAAATGACAATAAAGGTTATCTTCTTAGCAAAGGCAACATCAGTTTTCCTTGCCTATGTTATGTTAAAAGAATTTGAGGCAAATCAACTCTGCTCATACAATGTACTAGATAGGGCTCAGTATTAGCCACAACTTGGTGCTTACTTTATTGTTTGCCAGGCAAGACTGGAAAATTTAGCTGGCTTCGTTTCTCTAGTTATCAGAAATGTTTTCCTCTACTCCTCTATTTTAGAACTCTCCCTCCTTTCAGACATTCTTTCAGAGCTTTCAGGTCCAATCTTTGAATGTTTTTCTAAAAATCAAAAAAATGTTTTTATTTATTTGAATTAGATTCTATATGCCCTGAGTTAATATGAAGTGAATGAGAAAAATTAAAAGTGTTATTATCATTTATATCAGTGTAATAAATTGGATAATGGGTAGTGGACTAGGATCAGGGAGACTTGGGTTCTTCAAGTCCTTCCTTAGCTAAGAAAGTTCCTTGAGTAACTTTGGGCCAACTATCTGTCATCTACAGTTATCATTTCAGGGATAAAGTTGAGGGAGGGGGGTACTATGAGTGTCAGAATGCTTGCATTCCTGGAAGAATTGTACAATATAAGTTAGGAATAGTAGGATCTAAATTAATGTTTAGTAGTACATTTATGGAAAATGTTCAAGATGTTAATGTGATGTTGAATTATATACAAAAGCTTTGGAATTTGACTTTTTGCCAGGAATAGTGCTTATTCCAGATGTCAAGGAATAATTGTTGGAAATGTTTGATCTATCTGTTTTGGAAAAGGCAATATTTTCTGCCTATCAAAGGATGCAGCAATATTTGTTACTATGGAAGAGATTCTATGATACATAATAGGGTACATAATTTAAGATATTTTTCTTAGTTTGCATTTTTAATTTTTTTTTTAAATTAAAGTGTTTTTTTTTTAATTGGCACCTGTCATTCTGTGCTGCTGATGCTTTGCTTGTTTGTCTCTAAGCATTTGCCTGTATAGAAAGTCCTTGCTTATCAACCACAGTTGGGACCAGCAACTCCATTGTTAAGTGAAACAATCACACGATTATTAAAACATTATATCTTTGGGCTCTATAAGCAATAATTATGTCTCTAAACAAAACAAATAGAATGACATTTAGGAAGAATTTTTTTTAAAGTGTTCCCATTTACTGGCTTCTGAACAAACCAAAATTCAGGGAATTTGATATTGTGGCTAAAGATCTGCAGATGTTTTTAAATATATATGTACCTTTATTAAGGTTTTCTCATTTTTACTTTCATCCAATTTGATTCCCTCCTTGGTATTACCACTTAAGCATTTAAAATCCTGTATTGTTTAGGATTCAAAAGTGTTGAATAAAATGAGAGTTTGAGCCAGATTTTGTTTCTCATTATGCATACCATATACTGTATAATATCCTTTTTCTAATTGGTACAAAGGAATTGTTATGAAAAGCATTTTTAGAGCTGATATAGAATATTAGTTGTGTTTTTCTCACTATAATATATTGAATAAACATGCATAGAAATGACTTAACATTTAAATTATATTCGCTTTTAGTTTATAAATCAAAAAGTATACTCTATATATTTTGGCCAATGACATTTGTTTAGAGGCATGGATATAATCTTAGTAATGGTGCTTTTGGATGGGCTGCACCAAACCCAGTTTCTCAACTGCTGATTCTATCTAGTGGATGAAGGGATTGAATAACAGAATGCCAACTTTACAATATGGTTGTGATCCCTGATCTATAAACTGCATGATGTACCTGCATTTCTAAGTACATTTGCAATATACTTCAGTATGGGTACATATGCCTGAGATTGTGTTGTTGAACATTTGGAATGCCTACTAAATATATTAAAACTCAAAATGTTACAGCATTCTATAATTGTTTTTTTGTTTTTGTTTTGGTTACAGTTCTCTGTGCAAAAAATTTGGTGAAAAAGGATTTTTTCCGTAAGTACATATTTCTGTTCTTATATCTTTTGTTCTGTATTACCGAGGGTTCAGATTCAAAGATATTGTCTTACTAGGTAGCGTTTCATAAACCATTAAACAGAATGTTCTAATATAGTCAGATTATCTACTTGCATTCAAGCATTGTTTATGGCCTGTGCTAATAGAGCACTGCCTCAAATCGGCTGATTTGAGGCTTGGGAGGTAGGGGGGGGGGCAGCTGCAGCTTCCCCGTTCTCCTTCCCCAGGGCCCTGGGGAAAACTTTTCTCAGACATCCTCCCCTCATCAGCTCTCCTGGAGCTCGATAAATCCCCTCGAAGAGCTTCCCAAGTCCTCCAGAGCCGTCCCCAACAGCCACGGCCGCCATTTTGGCGGTCTATGACGCCATCTTTTGTTGAGCTTGAAATCCCAACATCTCCCATTGATCTTGTTTGCTAGAGATGCTGAGAATTGTAATTCTATAATGCCATAAATGCCAATTTATTGTGAAGTTAAAATCTAAAAATGGATCAGTATTATAATATACTTTAATCAGCACTAAAATTCAAGATCATAATCCATTTCATAGCATTAAGTTTTTAGATGTAGTTATCAGGAAGCATCCCAAAAGTCCCTTGAGTTTTAAAGATAGCATGGAAATTTAGCATAAGAGTGGTTGGAAAGAGTTGCTGCCACTGGTTTCTTTTGGCTAAATTTGTTGCTTATTAAAGAATTGCTTTAACCATGGGTACTGCTAACTTATTTCAGTCAAGTACAACTATTGATGATTTCATGAACACATCCCTGTAGTTTTCTTGGTATTAGTGTGGATGTGGTCTGCCATGATATTCTTATAGAATGTTTTTCAACTTCTGAACTCAACTTACTCTATTGGAATTACCTGTTGGTCTCCCATCCGATGTCTACTATAATCAGAATGACCTAATTAATTTTCTAAGCCCAGTCAAGGTCAACCAGATGCTGCTATCTGCTGATGTTTCATGTGTCTTACAGAATATTTATAAATAACTGTTGTTTGTTTCATAAATGTCACCTCTACCTTTATAATTAAATGCTTCAAGAAGTACAGGGAGTCCCTGGGTTAAAAATGAGTTCTGTTCCCTAAATCTGTCTTTAACCAAAATTTGTATTTAAGTCAGAACTCATACTTACAAATGGGCTGCCTATTACTAAAAATGGTGGGTGGCGCCAGTGCTTTTTTTCTAAAAAAAAAAAAAGGTGCCGGAACTCACGTCCTACAACCCGCCTTGCCTACCCTATAAGGTTCCATCCAAAAAAGGTGCCGGAACTCCGTTCTGGGCGTTCTATGAGAAAAAAAGCCCTGGGTGGCGCTGTTCTTCCTCAAGCCAATCAACCGGGCAATGCTTTCATTAGAAATGGCTGAAAACAGGCTGTGTATTAAAAACACATGGCTTCAGTGCTGTCTTGACTTTGAATCTTCCTGTTCTTGAAAGAATTAGACTTGTGAAAAACATTTTTTAGCATTTACAATGATAGCCTGAAGTGTCTTGAAAGAATGTTGTATGTCCAAATCAATTCAGTATCGGATGTATCTTGCAAAGAACAAATAAATTATGGAATTCCTAGTAGAATTCGTTCTTTATATAAAATTCTACTTTTACATAAAGGATTGGTACTATTAATGTAGTTGAGTACAAAAATTTCTCAAACCCAGATTGACAGCATTATGAGAATTCCTTTGTTCATTGGATTAAAAAGGAGATAGGTTAGAAAATGTAGGCGCTTTCTAATGGGCCGTCACAAATAAAATGATACCAATTAGCAGCATCCTCATTGTACTATGTATTTTCTGACAGGACTTCCTGACCCATTTGCTAAAGTGGTGGTGGATGGATCTGGCCAGTGCCATTCTACTGATACTGTGAAGAATACCCTTGATCCAAAGTGGAATCAGCATTATGACTTGTATGTGTCCGTAGAGATTATTTAAATATGGTCAAACTTTAAGCTGGATAATTGCTAAAAAAATGAAATATATTAAGTCAGGGAATCTTTGTTAAGAATTACTCTGAAAAGTAATGCAGGCCTGCATTAGCTGTCTGATTTGTTTATAAAGTAGCTGGTGGATCATTGCTAAAGCAGAGGGTTGGTTAATTGATTGGTTATGTGTCATTACACTAGTGTCAACTCTTACCAATTACATAGATACTAATTCTTAAATGCTGCTTTTTTTGTATAAAATCAAAGTGCTTAACTGAGAAAACAAGTATGTATATTTTTTATGACAGTTGGGAAATACAGACAAAAATGCAGATTCTGGATGAGGAATAGAGATACCTGGATTATCAGATAGATTGGATTCCAAATTCACACCAACTTCTCAAATTATGTGTAGTAATCAGCGATGATGGGACTTGTAGTACAGTTTTAATGCCACAGATATAGCATTCTTCCTTTAACTAAGATTGGTTATTTTAGAAGCTAGTTATTACCCCAGCATGTTTACTTCTAATGATCCTAGTATATCATTGTCTAAGTATTAATTGATATATCATAAATTTATACATAGCACTCAAGAAAATGAAATTGGGCACTAATAGCCTTTGACATAATTCTGAAAGCTTTATATTCTAATGTCTTATATAAGACAGAATGTCCAGAATGCGGCCGCGCGGGCGGTGTTGGGAGGGACTCGTCGCTCCCATGTAACACCGCTGCTGCGCGAGCTGCACTGGTTGCCAGTGGCCTTCCGGGTGCGCTTTAAGGTGTTAGTTACCACCTTTAAAGCGCTCCATGGCATCGGACCTGGTTATCTCCGAGACCGCCTTCTGCCACAGATTCCCTCCCATAGACNTCAGGGTGCCGTCGGCCAAGCAATGTCGGCTGGCGACCCCCAGGGGGAGGGCCTTCTCTGTGGGTGCCCCCACCCTCTGGAACGAACTACCCCCCGAGATCCGGACGATTCCGGATCTCCTTACTTTCTGCCGCGCCCTCAAGACATGGCTTTTTCAGCAAGCGGGCCTGGCCTAGGGAGGATTTTAAATTGGGTTTATCTTTAGAGTAATTTTAAATAGCACAGCTTTAAATATTCGGTTTTAATTGGTTTTACTTGGGTGGGGTTGTAAATGTGTTTATGTTTTTTAATATGTTGTGAGCCGCCCTGAGTCCCGTTGGGAGAAGGGCGGGATATAAATCAAATAAAATAAATAAATAAATAAATAAATATCAGGCAACTTTCAACATCAATATTAAAAATAATAAATTTTCCTAAATAAATATATTTCTGCCCTGGCATCCTATTACAGGGGTCCCCAAAATGCACACTATATGTGATATTAAGAAATAGTCCCTCTCTAGTTGCTGACATCATTTGCTGGAATCATAGTCACATGAGTGTCTCTTGGGGAGATAGCACATATGGTAGAAAACATTCTTCCCTTTTTTTTGTAATTGGAGGGATACAGTTGCAATCCATCTGTTCCTCTCTTATATATGTGAGTATTCAACTGAAATCTTTGTGCTTGATAGCAGAAATTATATGTAGAAACAAGTTGAAGGCATCATTATATGAGTAGTCTTTTCCAAAATGATAACATTCTAAGTCTTAGAAAATAATCAGTTATTGATTTGTAAACTCGGAGAGCATTTATACAGGTAGTCCTCAACTTGCGACCACAATTGAGCCCCACATTTCTGTTGTTAAGTGAGATATTTGTTAGGTTTTTCCCTATTTTACAACTTTTCTTGCCTTAGTTGTTAAGTGAATCACTGAAGTCGTTAAGTTAGTAACCCGGTTGTTAAGTGACTTTGCTTGTGAGAAGGTCACAAAAGGTGATCATATGACCTTGGGACATAGCAACAGTCATAAATATGAACCAGTTGAATTTTGATCACATGACCGTGGGGATGTTGCAAAGGTTGCAACTGTAAAAAATGGTTATAAGTCACATTTTTCTTGTCATTGTAACTTTGAATGTCAAGGACTACCTGTATTATGATGCATTGGAACTCCAGTGTGTTACAGGGTGAGTAAACAATTTAAACGAGTGAGTGTAGAAGGATGTTTTTAGTAAATTGAACACTTTGATGTTTGTACTATGACAGAATGCATGAAATGGGAGAAGCTTTCTAAACATCTCCCAGAGAGAAACATAATTCTTAAGTGTTACAACTCGTCTCCAAATTAAACACTCAACAACATACCATTTTTTCTGTTTGAAAGACTGTGACTGTCTAGCCAAAGGATGTCAGCAATGTATGATTTACATAAGATATTTTTTAAAAGCTCCTTTGACATTTGTTCAAGTAGAATCTTTTAATGAGTAAATTATGATGGAGACTTGAGCACGTCTGTGTGTAATGCATTTGACCTCTTCTTCAGCATAAAATAAAAATAAACATTTTATGTTATGAAGCTTCAAAAATATTTTGCAGTCAAAAATTATGTTTCATAGACTATTAGAGGTATGCAGTCAACATATGTTTTATTGCTGATTCCTGTCTTTTTCCCTCCCCTTAGATACATTGGAAAGTCTGACTCTATAACAATCAGTGTATGGAACCACAAGAAAATCCATAAAAAACAGGGAGCTGGTTTTCTGGGTTGTGTGAGACTTCTTTCTAACGCTATCAACCGCCTCAAAGATACTGGTTGTAAGTAGAAAGAACAAAAGTACTTCCATGTTTTGGAGTGATTTAGTTCTATGGGAATTATAATTTATTTGTTTGTTTACTTATTTATTTATATCCCACCTTTATTATTTTTACGAATAAGGAGGCAAATATATCCACCACAACTTCCTCCTCCAATTTTTTTCACCACCACCACCACCACCACAACCCCTGTGAGGTGGGTTGAGTTGAGAGAGAGTGACTGGCCCATAGTCACCCCGCTGGCTTTCATGCTTAAGGCATGACTTGAACTCATAGCCTCTGACTTTTTAGCCTGATAGCTTAACCACTAGACCAAACTGGCTTTGGGGAGGGTGAAAACCAGTATGCTCTTCATCTTCTTTTTGAAATTCTAGAAATGTTCAATTCAGCAATATGTATTTTGCCATAGAAATTACCTTCCGTGATCATTACAGAGAAATAAGGTATGCTTCCTTGGTTCTTTTTTAATAGATCAGAGATTAGACCTGTGCAAACTTGGGCCGAGTGACAATGACACAGTTAGAGGACAGATAGTAGGTAAGTAATGATTTTATTTTGTTTGTTTGCTTTATTTTATAACCTGCCTTGATTATTTTTATAAATAACACAAGGCGGTGAAAATACTCGTTTCTTCTCCTGTTTTCCCCACAGCAACATTCTTGTGAAGTGGGTTGGGGTGAGAGAGAGAGAGAGAGATAGCGATAGCTCAAGGTCATGCAGCTGGCTGTCATGGGAAGGCAGGATTAGAATTCATAGTCTCTTGTCTATGGAGATTCTCAGCCAACCAGGTCATGGTTGTTCCAAAGGTGCTTTTTCAAAAGGCAACTAGACTTTCAAAAGCATCTTTAGATCATAGTCTCTTGGTTTCTAAGCTAACACCTTAACTACTAGATCACACTAGACCAGGGGGTGTCAAATTGGTGACCCACAGGCCGGATGCGTCACGAGCAGGCCACACCCACCCCAGCTCCTCAAAGGCAAAAAACATTGTGATACATAACGTGACACGATCGAGTTTGACACCCATGCACTAGACCAAATTTAAATATATATTTAAACACCAGGATGGAAATGGAAAACAAGGAATGCAAAGTATGATTCTTCCGTTACTTAAGTTTGTTTTGAGTCAGAATGGCATGATTTTGATATAGCCCTGAATAAGTTTGACAGAAATCTCCACCTAAAGCTACTATAATTCTGCACTTTATTGGCAAAGAAATTTTGGAAGGCTTCTGTGATACAGTTTCATTCCTAAGTATAACATATAACAGGTAAAGCAGTATAGCCTTTTGGAAGAGGTCCCTGCAAAAATATGGAAGAGGAATGGTACAGAGTACCATTAGGATAAACAGATTGTCCATAAAAGCATCTTGATCCAGCAAATGTTTTTTAATGAATAAAAGTGAAAGGCATTTTATTTCCATTTCTTCTTTTGTATGCACCCCCCCTTTGCCGCCTCCCATGTGGCTCCACGAGGGTTCCCCTATTATCTGAAGAAGAATTAGGGAAATTAAGGCATAGGCGGAATGAAAGAGTTCTCCCCTCTAGAGCTCTGATGGGTGATTGGATTCCAATTTTGATTGGAAAGAGAAACCACTGCATGTAACTCTTTTATTTCTGTTTATCAGCATTACTTGGCATTCATTTTCCCCTTATTAATAATTGCACTCAGCTTACCATTTCTATTTAAACGCTGGCAAGTATAATATATATAAAATTTTAACAGTGATAGTCAGATATTAATTGAAATGCTTAAAGCCAACTAAGTTTACATGTTAGGTACTGCCTTATTTTCTCTTCTCATTGAAGTTAATGTTTAATATATTGCTTTAGCTATGCATTGATCAATCCTGCTAACGTGCTTGTTAACCCTACGAATTTGTTTTTCAAAAGGAGTGAGTGTCAGAAGGGAAATTGACAAGCAACTTTGTGTTGTGATGGTCTTCTGAAATATAGTTTGCTTGATCTCACCCCTGTTCTGCAAAATATGTGTTTAAATATTAGATACATTCCAAACATTTTATTATGTCAACGGTAGGAGGCTCTGTGGATGAAATTGAGCCTGATCATCCAATTTAACATTGCTTACAGTAGTAACATTTAAGAATCCATTCCACTAAATCAGGGGTAGTCAACCTTGGCTCTTTTATGACTCGTGGACTTCAATTCCCAGAATTCCTGAGCTGGCTCAGGAATTCTGGGAGTTGAAGTCCACGAGTCATAAAAGAGCCAAGGTTGACTACCCCTGCACTAAATGGTTGTTTATGATTAAACAAATTTAAAAGTTGGAGGAAGAGTAAAATTACGTCTAATGAGAATTTCCAGACATTTGATTCATAAATTGTGTTCTTGCTTCCAAGTTTTGGGTTTTGTTTTTTTAAATGCTGATCCCAGCAGGTGGAATTATAAGGATCCCTTTTGCAGATGGTGCCCTAACTTCAGAAAGCCAGCATTCCTTTGGGTTGCAGTGGGGCCCAGCCTCTCTGTTATCGTTCGCTGGGTTGATGCTCAGTTTTGGTCTAGACTTGAGCTTTCAGTTCCAATCTAAACAGGATTAGGAAAAGCCCATTCATCTTAATGCCACAGAAACCACAAATAAGTCATGTGTTCAGTTTCATTCTTGACTGGCCTCTTTATAAAGTAAACAGAACTACTTAGGTTTACACAGGCAGCCTTTGTTGTATTATTTGCAACACTTTAGGCATAGAATTGTCATTTTATTTTATTGGTGAAAAATCTTTGGATGTAAGAAATGTTAGCGCTAGAGATTGTCTTTTTAATGCAGGTGTGAATATGGGTATTGTTTGTATAGATTGAAACTATTTTTGCAATAGCATTGTGTTCGTCTATGCCACTGTTGAGCCTTGTTACATCTTTCAAAATGCAAGCAAATAAAAATTGTGTATCAAATATTTTAAAAAAATGAGTGAGAAACCAGATCATAATATTACTGTATATGGTAAATAAAACCCCTGATATGGAAATGCCTTTTACGCAGAAGTATCTGATTCCTAGCAATTGATTTATAAGGCAAGTGGTAAATATGAAGTCCCTTTTCTATATTGTCCACATGTTCAGTGAATTAAACTTCCCAAAGGCTTATCTTTACTGGCAAGATTGTATGTCAGCTTTAAGCAGAGCATTTAGTGGTGGGAGTAGGAGGAAAGAACATAAAAATAAGGTATAGCATACAGGAAAAACAACAGCAAAAAAAAGAAGAAGAAGAATGACATGTTGAAAATAATGTGATAACAAAATATCTGACCAGGCCAAACCATAAGAATGTCACTAGGCAAGTTTCTTTGAGGAGACGATTCTACAACCTTGACATGTTAATCAAGAAAGCTCTCTCTTTTTCTGGTCACCACTCCCCATTTTCATGGTGCTTAAAGGAGATTCTGTGAAGAAACAAAGCATCTGTTGATTCTCAGGTACTCAGTTTTGTCAGGACTGAGTTGTTGCTTATCGGTCCTTATTCAGTTTATTATTACTCCTGGTATAGTTTCATTATCCTTCACATGAATTTGATGGAAAAGAATGGGATGTTATCAGCAAAGAGGTGGTGCTTCATTACATCTCCCTTTTGCCTTTTCCAGTTTATTCCGGTGTTCAGAACCATGGAGACAACTAAAATCTTGCAGGATCCTATAACATTGACATATTCCCTCAGTATCACATTTTGGAGTTACTTCTTTAGGTAGAAATGGAATTATTATGTCATTGTTTCTCCCAAAAGAATATGGGAGGAGTAACATTGTAATATTGATATTGGAAGTTGCTAGATGCTTCAGAATTAACCAGATCTACATTCCACAATAAATCATCCATTAATATACTGTTAGCAATCTTTGTACTAAGGTAAACTTTTCTAACAAAGTATGCTTTGTGTTCTACTAGGCACCTATGAGGAACAGATTGAAGGTGTAAGATTGTAGCTTGAGGTGACAGAGACATGATTATAGGAATACCTATTTACTGAGCTAAAATTTTCAGGGTCAGATTACTTGTATTTTGGAATCTCATCAAACTGCTTTCTACTATCTTGGAGTAATCCTCAGGAAGTTTAATGAAAAGATAAGAGTATCCTATATGTTTTCAAAATTTCAAATATGTATATCACTGAATCAAAAAGATTCATGCAAGATATGCCACAATAATGTTCTAATTTTGACTTTTGTTTTTTGATAGTAAGTCTTCAGTCCAGAGATCGGATAGGCACAGGAGGGCAAGTTGTTGATTGCAGTAGACTATTTGACAATGATTTACCTGATGGGTAAGTTATTTTTTTTTGATAGTTGGAATAAAATAATATATTGCATGTCCCAAACATTGTTTTACTTTGTGCTTAATATTTGCAGTGATAAAAAGAATGAAAGAATGCTAGTTTAAAATGTCACATAAACTTATTTAATAAATAACTCTGCGAGCTCAGACATTTTAAAATCACACTTCTTATAATATACACTTTTCTTTCAATACAAAAATATTTAGTTGGGAAGAAAGGAGGACAGCTTCTGGAAGAATTCAGTATTTGAATCATATCACGCGAACAACACAGTGGGAGAGACCAACACGGTAAGCATTCTTTTAAAGAGCTAAAAGTATGGCGTGCCTACAACTCTAGTGGTTGTCAGTGCTAAAAATTCTCCAGTTGTAAGTCAATGTTCCACATTATGTCTTTTTCTCCCAAATTAGAGCTTTTTCTCACATATTTAATATGTATTACATTATTACACAAAAACATAGAACATATTTGCTCATGAGAATCTTTTCAGGGAATCTGGAGAGGCAGAGCATCCAAATTAGTTTTCAGATAAATGAGTGGGTTTTTTTTATTCCCCTCTGCAACAGTCATTTTGCTAGAACACTTAACAGTATCTCAAACTTCTGCATATGCCTATTGGATCAAAACAGTTGCTTATTCCTGTTTTGTTAGATTTCCTTAAGTCCTTATTATTTATTTTTTAATGTTCAATAGTAAGTAATAAAATTGACAAGAATAAAGAGTCTTATATAAAGACAAAACTGTTTTTTATAGAACTCTGGTTTTTATTAAATTAACTCAGGGTTTGTTATTAGTTTATATATCCTTTCTAGGAAAGGGAAAAACAAGGGAAACAGTTTGGACAATGCATTAAATAAATTATTCCTATTTTGCTTCCGGTTGAATGGGAGACGGTGAGTTTTGCACCAGTACAAATACACCAGGATTTTCCTGATTCTTCTATTGTTGGTTGTAAAGTTGGCAACTATGTTATTGCTAATATGTAGGAAATCAGATCTCTCATTTCCCTTTCCCCAAGTCGTCTTTGTTCCCTCTTTAGTACAATGCAAACAGTGTGAACATTTCTGAGTGAAGCACAGTGTGGGATAGTTTTAGAACTGCTATTATCAAAGGAGGCATTAGTGGTCTCTCTGGCAAGAAGAACTTTTTTCTAACTACTAGCTGTAACCATTCCTTGTCAAGACTAATCTGGTCTCAGCAATCCTTGTGGTGATAATTTTAGGGCTGGTTTACTGGAAATAAGCTTTACGCAAAATTACCCTGGGGGCTGAGCTGGAAATTGCTTCTGATATAAAACGTTGCAGCCAGATCATTGAAGGGACATATGAATGTTTTATACCCATCTACCAATCTGTTCATATTCATATGAAAGAACTGTTTGGACTTAGGCGCTTGATGCCTAAGAGTAGCCTATTTGTCATATGACGATTCGTTTATTACCTGTCTGAGGCAATGCTGCATTTATCAAGAATTTGCTATGCCATAATCCAAGAGAATGTCCTCAACACTTGTGCCCTCTTTCACTCTAGCATCCAGCCATCTTGTACCGCTTCTCATTTTTATCTAATTAAAAGTGAATAATAAACTTTATTTATTTATTAGAAGGTGGCTTTTAAACTGGTATTTCTTAAGATGTTGTTTAAAACTCTGTAATTTTAGACTGTAATGCGCTTTTGATAGAAGAAACAAACATTGTTGTTTTTTACTAGGCCAGCATCGGAATATTCCAGTCCTGGCAGACCTCTGAGTTGCTTTGTGGATGAGAACACACCGGTTACAGGAATAAATGGTGCAACGTGTGGACAGTCATTTGACCCCAGGCTAGCCGAAAGGAGAGTTAGATCTCAGAGGCATAGGAATTACATGAGCAGGACTCATCTGCATACTCCTCCAGATCTACCTGAGGGATATGGTATGTTTTCCTGAAATTGTATAACTATCTACTTGTCTTTTATAAATAAGAGAGAAAGTATAATTTCCCATTTAAGGGAACTGTTTTTTTAAAATTGGATTATAATGCTGGTGCCAACTATGATGATTTGGCAATTGTGCAACACAAAGGAGATGCTGGGACCTTGTGGTTAATAAATATTTTAATCAGTGACATTTTCCTCTCCATAAAACTCTTACATTACAACTCAGTGTGGTCATAAAAATGGCTAATTTTGAATCAATATCTTTAGGCAAAGAGAACTTTAGATTGTTTTTTAATGAGGTATATTGTGGCAGTGCAAAGACTAATGAGGATAGCTTTGTCTGTTGTGAACATGGGCACATTTGATATATCGTTTTTAAAAATTTAGAAATCCGTAACTGCTTTAGACAAGTCACTAATGTTATGTATTCTCTGTTTCAAAATGCATATATGTATACCAACTCTTTTACTCTTTTCATTTGTTTAGTATGTGTGACGCTTGTCAAGGAGGTTATGCTATTGTTATTTTTAATTGTCCTGCAGATATATTAATTTTGAAGGCAGATATACCTGTCCCAGGATACTATTGCAGGATCCAATCTGGGTCGATCACCGGGACCAGAGTTTCCGTCTTTCGAGTTTTCGGGCTTGTGCTGGAGCCCATCTCTCAGGGAACCTCTGTCTAACACACTCTGCTAGAGAGAGGTTCCCTAAGGATGGGCTACAGCATGGGTCTGGAAGCTCAAAAGACGGAAATTCTGGTCCCGGTGACAGACCCAGATTGGATCCTGCTATATTAATTTTGTTATATATCATGTAAACTACCGAAAATAATTTGATTGTAGCAGGGTATAAGTTTAATAAATAGGGGGCAACACACACACACACACACATGTATTTACTCTAGTTCAGATACCACAATTCTACTAGAACTCAACTTTTATTATTCTAACAGATTTTTTCCCCTATACACTTGGAATTTTGTTTGTATTATAGAATTTTAAAAAAATATGCTATTGTATTTAAAATAGGAAGTTCTGAGATCTTAAAATCCATACCAGAAAGTTTGTCAGAAGGTTGAATCATGGCAACTGGACTAATTTAAATTAGTCCAATTGCCATCATTCAACCTTCTGATACCTTTGCCTGGATAACTGAGAGTTTTCATTGACATACCAGAAAGTTGTTAATTGACCATCAGAATATTGGGATTCTCTGATCAAATTTAAATTATGTTTGTAAGTTTATGGGCATACATTTGCATTTGTGCATATATGATGCTTTTTAAGGGAAGGGAATGAAAAGAAGTCTCCCCCCCCCCGAAAACTCTTACTGTTTATTTAGAAATCTGTATTGATCTAGTTGGCACTGAGTGTCGATATGCATGCAGACGCACCCAACATGTACCATTTCTGCATTCAGTGGCTCCGTCTGCCGAATCTATTAACATATATAGAACTTACTAGCAGGTCTGAGCTGGGAATATTTGTAATTTCAGGATTTCTTATTTTGTGCAGAAATTCCTTGTTGTTTTGAACAAGGATGAAGATTATATTATTGAAACCTCCCTATGAGAAATTCCTGTTAAACTTACTCAGATTCACATCTCAGTATAGAAGAGTACAGGTAGTCCTTGACTTGTGACCACAATCGAGCCCGAAACTTTGGTTGCTAAGGAAGACAGATGTTAAGTGATTTTTGCCCCATTTTGCGACCTTTCTTGCCACAGTTGTTAAGTTAATCATTGAAATTGTTAAGTTAGCAACACAGTTGTTATGTGGCTTCTTCATTGACGTTGCTTGTCAGAAGGTCACAAAAGATGATCACATGACCCTGGGACAGTGCAGCCATCATAAATATGAGCCCGTTGCCTAGTGTCAGAATTTTGATCATGTAACCACGGGGATGCTGCAATGGTCGTAAGTGTGAAAACGGGCAATAAGTCACTTTTTTCAGTGCTGTTGTAACTTCGAATGGTTGTAAGTCAGGGACTACCTATATGCATTGTAACTCAATAATGCCTGAGAATTTTCCTCCATTTGTACTGGAAAATCCCAGATCACTATAATCGCCACAATAATTGGCACTGCCTTTAATTCTGCAATAATTTATAATCCTCACGTTATCCCAAAAATTCCTTCCCTGGAGTCCTCTAAGTCACTTCTTTCAGTGTTGTTGTAATTTTAAATGGTCACTAAATAAATGGTTGTAAGTTGAGGACTACCTGTATTCTGCATTCAAATACTTATTACAGATATTGGAGAGTCTTCATTTCCCCATTTTTGTATTGTGTGCCGACTGTTCAGGATCTTTCCAGTCTCTTCAGTGGAATAAAATTAACTGTGGTTGCATAGGAGAACAGCTTTAAAAGTCTCTTTCTCCTATTTTTCTTCTTATACCCCACCCTTGCAAATGTCTTCATCCTGTGACAGACAGGCAAGTCTCAAGGGAGATTGGAGAAGAAGCTGGATCCGGACAGGAATGGGGTAACAGGGAAATGGTTAGGAGGCCAACAGAACACACGGTGCTGTCCCTGCTGCACTCCAAAAGTCTAGCAGCTTTTCAGCTATCATCCAAGGGATTTCTAAAAATACCAAAGATGCAATGGGAAAACAGAAGAAAATTACCCTGGAAGATATTGCTTGTGTTCCAATGAGGTTCAGGTTTTTTTTTTTAAAGCATCTTTGGTCTTTTTCCCACGTAAATACACATCTATGTATCTTTGTGTATTTATGAATAGCCACTATCCTTTGGATTTATTCGAAAGTGAAAAATGCAATTGTGTATGCATAGAAGTCCTATAAACCCCCTAATATTATACTGTAAAAAAGTTCATTCAAACAAGTATTTTTTTAAATCTTTCCAATATTCTGGCCCTGGGAAGGTTAACAACAGTTAAAAATATAACACAGAAACAGAATAAAGGTTAGGGAAATATATAAAAAATTACCCCAGTCGTGCTTAACCAAACTGTTCAAAGTAGTCCCAGTCTGGAACTTCTAATAGCTGTTCTAGAAAAGACCAAAATGGAGCATCACAAGGAGAAGTTACATAGATTGTAACATTTATGTCTAGATTATCAATGATAACTGGAGATCTAGGGGAATTTTTTTTTATAAAAGGAAACAATATTTTGAACTTTCTGATTTGTTTTTACATTGATAATTTCCCAAACAGAGCAAAGGACAACTCAGCAAGGGCAGGTGTATTTCCTACATACTCAAACTGGTGTAAGCACATGGCACGATCCCCGTGTACCTCGGTAAGAAAATAATGTATCTTAATTGATGCTGGAAATTAAGTAAATTCCCTTCACAAATAAAATGCAAAATAGCACACAAATTTCAAATAATTGTACACTTGCCTGGTATGTGGCGTGTGATTCTATAGAACTCAAATTCAGAACGTGGTTCAGAAAACAATGCATTCTGAAAAATCTCTGCTTTCATTTAAAAAGAAGAGAATAGCACGGGCTAAATCTTTATATCTGAAAAAGGATGCATTATATGTCTAATACATTTACAAACATCTGAGGGGGTTTGAATAAAATTTTTCTTTGGTCAGAAATGAAATTAAATAAAACCTAAATTTATTACTTACGTGCCTCCAATTTTCTTACCAAAGAAAGTCAAATCAGTGAAGATTTTCTGCTAATGTAACGGCTTTTGTCAGTGGATTTAAGAGCGAGGCAGTTTCCCCACTCTTTACAGTCCTCTGTGTACCCTTAAAATTCAGAGAAATCTCCAAAGGAGCTATAGAGGTATATGGAGACCTACGAGGTCTTGAGAATTGAAGATGGCCTCATCACTCAAACAGATTTCCAATATTAACTTTTAAAGTATAAAACTTGTAGTAAGTGTGTTAAAATCTAAATTGTATAGTTTATTTTTTCTTTAACATTAAGTTTACACACTTAAAGCTAACCTCCCTAGTTTTTTATTCGGTAAATGATGTAATAGTTAAAGCACTGTGCTAGGACTGTGGAGACCCATGTTCAGGTCCCTATGGATTTATGAAATGTACTGTGTAATCTTGGATTGCTTGCTGTGTCTAATCTATCCTACTTCACATAATTGTTCTGAGGGTGGGAAGTAAAACATGTACGGTGAAGGATATAGAAATAATGTGAATAATAATATGAATAAATAATGAAAAAATAATAAGTAAATGGAAGGCTTCTTTTACAAAAATTAAAAGATTTTAATCATAGTATATTGAGAAAACTTGTATTCATCTAGAGCTTGTCACTGTATCTCATGGTTAGTCTGCACGGTGGGTTAAAGTCACCTGTGGTACACTGCAAGCTTATATAAAATTTATGGAAAATAAGATCTGTTTTCAGCTTTAGAAAAAGCATTTCAACTATCCTTAAAAAACTAAAGTCTTGTTAAAATTATAACTAAAGATAAAATCAGTATTAAACTCCTATAGTAAGAGTGGCCTTTTAAGTACTTAGATTTCTAGTAGGAATCACGCTGATTACAGGAATATTAATTTTTTAAAAAAAAACTGTATAGCTTTTGTGTGATAACAGTGTTTCCAAGGCAGTGTCTTTCTAAGAGCATGTTTTTTGGGTTTTTTTTACTTTCATGGACTTACTCCCAGGGAATAGAGAATCAAACTGAAGAGATAATGTTTCTGAAACAATGCGTACACACAGACTTCATGGAATTGTTATGTTACATTTCTGTCTGTTTGGCTCAGAAGCCCTATGCTGAGATATTCCTCATTTATATTTGTTTTTGCAGGGATCTTAGCAACATCAATTGTGAAGAGCTTGGGCCTTTGCCTCCTGGATGGGAAATCCGAAATACAGCCACAGGCAGAGTTTATTTTGTTGACCATAACAACAGGACGACACAGTTTACAGATCCACGACTATCGGCTAATTTGCACCTGGTTCTAAAGTGAGTTAATGTAGTCACTCATATCACCAATATGTGGCTAATAACATTTAGAGCATTAAGGTAGCATTAAGGAAAGTCTCTTAGGCTTTTTAATTTCTATATGTACATTTTAGATTAACATAATCTACAGCAGAATGTTTGATTTGCTGTAGGCATGGATTATCTTATGTCATAGAGGCTAATGCTCTAATAAAGAGCATATTAAAATTGTGTTCTATTTGATGTCATTGATTTAGTAATAGTAATGTTACCATTGCTATTAATCATTGGTTATATTTTATTTTTACTGTTATAAAAAAAACATGTTCTGTATTTCTTCTATTTCTAACAGCCAAATTTCTCCTTAATTTCTTTTGCTTCTGTCCAAATTAAAATAGAAAAGAATGAATAGGCATGAAGCACAGAAAGAAAGGAGAAAAGGGAAAAAAATGAGATTCAATGTCATTTTCAATTTTGGAAGATTGGTACTTGCCTTAAATATATAATACTAATTTATATACAATATGAGACAATTTCTCTATGCTAATTGAAATTGGCTTTCTAGTAGTAAAGTATGATTTATATTTTCAGGGTAAAAATCCCTCAATCCAGATGGGAATTTTTCAGGAATATTTGATTACATTCCTTCTAAGGAAATTAACATCTTACATTGTTTTAAATCAAAATATAAGATAGTATTGATTTGCTCTTGATAGAATTGAAACAGAGGGACTTAAGGAAGCATTTTTAATCCAATAAAATTGTTTTTTTTCTACACCAGAGATTTTCCAATTTTGCTCCTGCATTTAATACTTCTATTCTTCCCAAGAGCAAAAGTTAAGCAAAATTTGCTGTTGTCTAGACTAGGGGTCCCCAACCCCCAGTCTGTGGACTGGCACTGGGCTGTGGCATGCCCGAAACTGGTCCGTGCAAACAAGTGAAGCCCATTCATGGGATGCAGGCAGCATGCGAAACCACGCCCCCTCTGGTCCATTGAAAAACCTCTCTCCACGGAACTGGTCCCTGATGCCCAAAAGATTGGGGGGCGCTCGTCTAGACACAATTATTATTTCAGATCTTCCTAGAATATTGTTTCTAAACTCTTAATACCTTTATATCCCAACTGTGTAAATTTTAACTCACTCGATATTTAACACCCAATTCAGGAACTATTTTTCTTTACTTCTTTTTCTTAACAAAAGCCTCACAGACATGACTCAGCTTGATTAATCTGTTTATTGCAGATAAGAATAAAACAATATACTCGTAGAAGATTTATCCACTTCAGTATATTGAAATTAAAGTTGTTATATAGGTTCAGGGTTTAAATTCTAAGCTTTTCCCTCCTGTCTTTCCAAGTCAGTAGATAGCTATCCATTCTCTTGATTGCCTTGGAAGATACATGATCTGTATTGAGGTAATAGTCTGGGAACTGCTGGCTTCTGCTTTGCCAGCTTCATTCTGCATACTGTATATGGGAAATAGTTACATGTCCACTTAAGACTCCTTTTAAAAAAATGTTTAAACTATGTTTTCATAGAACAATATTTGGGAATAGGGCTCTGGGAGATAAATTTCTTGGTTAGGTAAACCTAAAGCAGGTTTAAAATTATCTAAAAATACTTGATGTTTATATACCTGTTTTAAAATGTAATTACAATTTTTTAGAAAATCTTTTGGTTTGCATAGCTGTTTAAATCTGGTTTATTTATTTATTGACCAACGTGATATTACAGCAGAGTCTCTATCTGCTATCTAGAGCAAATATCAAGCACTTTCCAAAGACTTAAAAATAGGCATTTTCTGACTAACAGTCAGTATAGAATATAATTTATGTTTCATATAGACTAACAAAATAGCTTAACAAATTAGGCTTCTGGCAATAGAAGGAATGTTCTATTTGTCAGGTCCTAAAATCACAGTCTGTTTTTTGCTCTTCCCAAGCTACATACTTTAATTTTTTCCTTCATGCATCTGTTTTTCATTATGAAAGGATTTCAGAAATTCAGCTAGCAGTGTCATCAGCAAAGTATAGTATCTGATAAATTTTATATAGCATTTGTTCTTTTATTATACTATATAGGATAAGTGAAAATGTTTTCTTCTCATATTTGCACTAAAGAAGAAGTTGGCTGTTTCTGTATATTAAAAACCAGTTATGAGTATGTATGTGTTTAAGTAAGTAAATACATGATACAGGGCAGAGTACATTATCAAAAGTAAAAATCAATAAAGACTACATATTAAAACTACATTGAACCATGATGCAAAATAACATATATATACACACATAAGTGCTGGGAAAAAATCCTCACCCAAAAGGTAATCCACTCCCAGACTCAATAACTGGAGAGCCAGTTTGGTCTGGCATTTAATGCATCTGGCTAGAAACCAGGAGCCTGGGAGTTCTAATCCTGCCTTAGGCATGAAAGCCAGATGGGTGACTTTGGACCAGTCATTCTTTCAGCCCAACTCACCTCACAAGGTTGTTGTTGTGGAGAAAATCAGTCAAGGAATTTTGGCTGGCAGGGTCCGGGAGAAGGGTCTTCACTGCTGTGCCTCCTGCCCTTTGGAACATCTTACTCCTTGAGCTGAGATCGGCTCTTATCCTTCTGACCTTCCACAAGAACATGAAGACCTGGCACTGCCAGATGGCTTGGAGCCCTTTTGGGGGAACGTCACAGAGGAGGTGGTTATCAAATTAAGAGGCAACCCCACCTACATCCCCACTTTTAAAGATATTTATCTTTTATAGTTTTAATGCTGTAAGTCACCCAGAGTTGCTTTGAAATGAGCTGGAAAGCAAATAAATGTAAAATAAATAAAATAGTATTAGGTATGTTTGCCACCATAAGTTACTTATAAAGTAATAAAGGTGGGATAAAAAAATAATAATAAAAATCCAGATCTTTAAAGGCAGGCTAAATGACTTCTGGAGTGGGGACACTCTTCCAAAAGGCATTTGACATACCACATTTGCTACCTTTAATTTATTCCTTTAATTTCTAACTATAATAATCTAAATATGGTTGACTCCTGAGAACATTTTTTTAAAAAAACCTATTTTTAAAAATCCAGTTGAAATTCTACCTGTTCCTGAGAAATGCTTCATGAGTTCTTTTGCCATTCCACTTAAAGCAGATAAGTTTATACATAATCTTATTTTTAAACTGAGGGTAAATTAGAATTGCTGGTTATGACTGCTGAGAGCAGAAAACGTCTGGCTGGAAGAATAGAAAATTCTGTCAGCCAGAATGAAGTTTAAAAACAGCAGCCACAGTTTTATTACTTGGCATAAACTAAAGAATGGAGGAAGAAAGCATTTGTTGATGATGTCTTGACCTAACTTTTCTGGTTTATGTTGGCTTTGTATCCAGGTTGGCAACAGTGGTTTTTTGATATTAGTAAGCATCGTTGGCAAACCATCTGTTGATAGTAAACAAAGCATCTTGGGCACCATGGCCCATACCTGGTACTGAAAAAGTCAATTACAAGAGAAACAGCCATCTCTTTGTAATGAACAACACACTTTCATCCCTTATGATGCTGTCTAAACATTCTTATTCCATTAATCAGTGATTATTTAGTTTATAGCAGGGTTCTCATAGCATAATGCAGAAAAAATCTGAGAATTAAAACTAGAGAGCTCTAATATGATTCTTGCAACTATATTAACCAGATAAGGGTTAAAAATAAGAAACAAAACTAAATGACTTGCATTCCCAGCACAAGCTATTACTAGTCAAATGGTGCTGTCTGATGAAAACTAATCCTGATTAGGATTGCAGTCTTGACCAATAGACATTAACTTTTATGAACTATAGATGTGATTTATTGAGCGATACATTGAATTCATGTTATTCTTTAAATTTTATTAAGTATCCTCAGATGCTAATAAAGATGTAAGCACTTACAAGGTTATATAAATAATTACAAATAAACAGTAGGTTGAAAATTTATAAATTTAAATCCACTATCATTTGCTCTCTTCATTCTTAAACAACCTAACAGTTAATTGAAAACACCCTTAAAATTCATTTTGGTTTATCTGTGAATATATATGGTAATTCTTATTAAGATGATATATTCATGTATAAGATCATTTGCAGATAAGCCAACGTTTGAATTTGTAACCAAAATGTCACAAAAAATGTGTCAACCGTGGATAAGCCAATTGTGAAAATTATGATATACTAAATTTCAAGAGTTGGTTTATCTGGGAGTGGTACATTTTTCTTGATATTTTGGTTAAAAATTGAGGGTCATCTTATCTATGAATAGACTTATCCACGTGTTTATTTGTTTAAGTCTTTACTGAATTTTTTATCAACATTTTGATAAACAATAAAATCATGGTTGTGCTCTTTTACCTATCAGAATTATTGTGTTCCATCTATATTTGCCTCTTGTTTCTAGTAAAATTAATGAATTTGATTGACAAGGTTGGCTCTGTTTATCACTGGCTTCTGCTAATAATTGGAAGAGGCAATGAATTATGTTTCTCCACATTGTGGCTACTAAAAACTATATTACTTTCACAGTTCCATCTGACATTTTATATAGTCTTTTAAACAATCAGATTTAGACATTTTTTCTTAGCAAAACTTTTATTCTGAAATCATGTTCTTTCTACTAAAATGCTGCACATTTTGGCATGAGTTTAAAAAATGTCAGAAGGTCCTACCTTGAATATATCATGTTTTCATCCCTCACTGTCTGAACATATTTTTAAAACACTTTTCTTAATAGCTAGTGAAAATATTCATTTATCTGTGCCAATTGTAAAATTGCCTACATTCCTGTGGTTAAGACAAATTCAGGTACAGTGGATACCATCTTAGCCAAACTCTGTCTACATGCATTTTTGTAAATTAACTTTTCAGGTAAAGCAATTAAAATGTATAGTGGTATCCTCCTTTTAGATTGTGTTTTGACACACCTAAACATCTTGGAAAAATAGGGCAGTTTGAGACATTTTGAGTAATAATGCCCATATTGTGCTCTGATCTATTTATTTTTTTTATAAACAAACTATTGGAAATGTTCCGTATTAAAAGAAGCAGAGGTGTGTGCTCTTCCAGGTTCCTCAAGAGTATGTTGATAGAATAGCACACTGAATTTTTTTTTTCAACGTATTAGCTCACATGCATTTTGTGGAAGTCATGGAAATGGGAACAACTGGAAGTCTTGGAATCTTGAAAGTCAATGTCGCTCTGTTTCTTTTCAGCCGTCAAAATCAACTTAAAGACCAGCCACAACAGCAGCAACAAGTTGTTTCACTCTGCCAGCTTTCAGACGAGGCTGAGTGTCTCACTGTGCCAAGGTATAAACGAGATCTAGTACAAAAACTCAAGATTTTGAGGCAAGAGCTCTCCCAGCAACAGCCCCAAGCTGGACATTGTCGTATAGAGGTCTCCAGGGAAGAAATTTTTGAGGTAATGTGAGAATTATAAATTATTGCTGAATTAAAATAAAAGCCAGTACCTATTACTATGGTGATCTGGGATTTTGCACCACAAATGGAGGCGTTATTGAGTTACAATGCATACAGGTAGTCCTGGGCCTATAACCATTTGTTTAATGACCATTCAAAGTTCCAGTGACACAGAAAAAAGTGACCTATCACTATTCTCACACTTACGATCATTGCAGTATCCCCAAGGTCACGTGATCAAAATTCAGACACTTGGTAACTGGCATGTATTTATCATGGTTGCAGTGTCCTAGAGTCATGTGATCACCTTTTGCAACCTTCTGACAAGCAGAGTCAGAGTCAGAGGAAGCCAGATTCACTTAAAAGCTGTGTTATTAACTTAACAACTGCAGTGATTCACTTAACAACTCTGGCAAGAAAGTTCATAAAATGGGGTAAAACTCACTTAGCAACTGTCTTGCTTAGCAACAGAAATTTTGGGCTCAGTTGTGGTTGTAAGTCAAGAACTACCTGTATTTTGAGATTCAGTAGGGGCTTGTGATTTTATGGAGACAGCATCCTTCTGGTAAAGTCTGAAATTAATTTGTTTATGTTCTCTACAGTCTTTTTCAGAATTAAGTTATTTTTCTTCAATTGATAGGACTTGCATTAGAATAAATATGGATAAGACCAAATAAGACAACTTTGCAGGGTGGTTTCTGGGGATCTTGCAGGAATTGTGGAAATTATATTAGAAGAGTATAGGTTTCCTATAAAACATAAAAGACATAAAAGATATATTTTTCCCCTTAAGTAAACCAGGTACTGAACAGAACGTACCATATGTACTTGAATTTATAAAACCTATGCAAGCATCATCTCTGAACACTAAAGGCATTTTTATTGATCTGACAATCAAGAATAAAACTTTATTAATTAAGGCAGTAATGTCAATTTTATACAGTCTAGTAAAACATAAGAAGTATTCGGCTCATAGGTACCTAATGTAATTGCAGGAGTCTTATAGACAAGTCATGAAGATGAGACCAAAAGACCTATGGAAGAGATTAATGATAAAATTTCGTGGGGAAGAAGGCCTTGATTATGGCGGTGTTGCCAGGTAAATAAATCCAGCTTAAAATATATAATGTTTTGGCTTTTTTTTTAAATATGATAATTGAACTAACTTTAGTTCCTATTACCTTTCAGAGCAGTATTGGAGGCAATGTTCTGCAGTTTCTGGTAAATTTAAATGCAAGTTAGTTAGCACATTGGTAGCATTTCATGGACCAAACCTATCCTTCAATTGACATCTTTTTAGAAGGCAATATGTATAACATAACAAGGTATTCAGCAGCCCTTAGTTATGTTCTAGAATGAAGCCTTTTATGCTCATAACCATTTGATTTCCTTTGCTAGACCATTGCCAGGGATTGACCTTGGAAACGTATATGCTCAAAGTTTGCTTTTTACCACCCCAAATAGGGAAGTATGACCAATAAAGAACTGACAAGAGCTAAGAACAGATACAAGTCTAAAGTCAAGCTCAAATCCTACTAATTTAATACAAGTGTTCCATATTAATCACAATGCAAAAGTAATTTCCCATTGTATTCTTCTGGAGGTGTTTTTTGATTTTCCAGTCTAACCTGCCAAAAGTTTTACAAACCTGATACTACTTGCTAGTCTCTCATCCAAGTATTAAGTAACTTTGACTTTCAACTTGACTTTGACTTTCAACTTTGATTTTAGCCAAGATTGTTTAAGAGCTGGTAGGTTTCTCTAATGCACTTATATCCACAGTGATTATAACAATTTTAGAGTAATTATTGCACTGAAATATTTAGGCTTATAAGGCTCCACCTTGTGGTAATGTTTCATAAAGCAAACCTTGCATTGCCTGATTTTGCGTGAAATCGTATTGTTTTAAATACTAGGCATGATCTAGTCCAGTGGTTCTCAACCTGTGGGTCAGGACCCCATTTGGGGTCGATCGACCATTTCATGGGGGTCGCCAAGCAAGGCTGTCCGCCATTTTTTTTGTCTGCCATTTTTTTGTCTGCCATTTTTTCCCCTTTTCCGGCAGGTGCCTTACCTCCCTTGGGCTGGGCCAGCTGGTGGTCAGCCTGCTCCTCTCTGCCACTTGCCAGATACGCCTCGGCCGGCGCAGGGGGCGGAACCACGCATGCGCGGCGCTCCCAGGCAGGGAAAGTCCTCGACTTACGACCAGTTGGGTAGTCCTCGACTTAAGACCGGTTTAGTCCTTGACTTATGACCGGTTTAGTCCTCGACTTACGACCGGTTGGGGTCGTGGCATTAAAAAGGTTGAGAACCACTGATCTAGTCCATTAAAGCTAATTCTGGAGTGGGAGGATGGAAAAAAAACAAAACAGGAAGGCAAATGTAGTGGGGAAAAATGGATTCAAAAGGAAATAATTTTGGAGACCAACAGCTACAGTTCCAACCATCCAGATATAAACTGGGAGACAAACTCTGCAGCGATTGGGAGATCAAACAGATTCGTAACCAACCGAGCTGACAACTTTGTCATCCAAAAGGTGGAGGAAGGAACTAGAAGTAAAGCTATACTGGATCTAATTCTTACTAATAGAGAAGAAGTGATAGAGGGAGTTGAAGTTGCTGGAACCTTGGGTGAAAGTGACCACGTCATATTGGAATTCAATATAATGTAAACACAAGCAATAGAAAATAATCCAACCAGTGTCTTAAAATTCAAAAGAGCTAATTTTCAGAATAAAAACTAGGAAAGATTCCATGGATGAAAATCCTAAAGGGGAAAACAACTCAAGAAGCATGGGAAACTCTGAAAAATGCAATCATAAAAGCCCAGTCCAGCACAATACCACTGAAAAAAAAAACCAAGAAATTCAAGAAGAAACCAGCATGGCTGCACAAAGATTTCTTTGACAAACTGAATGACAAAAAGGACAAGTACAAAAAATGGAAAGAGGGCCACATAACTAAGGCTGCTTATCAGCAGACAGCCAGAACATGCAAAGATTAAGTCAGGAAAGCAAAGACTCAGGATGAACAAAGACTTGCAACAGAAATCAAGGACAATAAAAAAAGTTTCTTTCAACATATTAATAACAAGAAAAAAGTCAAGGAAACTAAGTCCACTAAAGTAGAGCTCCCCAATCTTTCCAGCTTGGAAGGAAAGGGAGGAGCAGGGAAATGTTTCCCCGCACGCGCATGCGCAAACAGGCCACTAGCGCCCACAGAAATGGGCCGCTAGTGCCTGTGTGATGCTGGTGGTGCTAGCACACCTGCACATGCGCAAACAGGGCTGCTAGCACCTGTGTGGCAGCACTACCGCGAGTGGGGGGGCTCGCCAGTTATTCCTGCGCCCCGGTGGCCAATAGGCCACAGCCTGGTACTAGGCCGCAGATCATAGGTTGGGGACCCCCTGCACTAAAGAGAGAAGATGGCAAGGAACTAACAAGCAGGGAGAAAGCAGAGCTGCTTAACTCATTCTTTGCATCAGTCTTCACACAAAAAGAAATTATAGCCCAACATACCAAAAAAACTACTGCAAAAGACAAACTAGAAACAAAAATTAAAATAAGCAAGAAAATGGTGAGAGAACACCTATCCGACCTTGACAAATATAAATCACTGAGGCCTGACAGATTACATCCCAGAGATCTGAAGGAGCTGACAGGTGTTATCTCAGAGCCATTGCACCATATCTTTCAAAAATCCTAGAGCACCGGGGAAGTACTTGAGGATTGGAAAGGACTGATGTGGTTCCCATCTTCAAGAAAGGAGAAAAAAAAACAGACCCAGGAAACTACAGACCAAACAGTCTAACATCCATACCTGGGAAGATCCTGGAAAAGATAATAAAAAAACAGATCTGTGAACAACTAGAAGCAAACAAAGTTATAACTAGTAGCCAGCACGGGTTTGTTAAAAACAGATCATGCCAAACCAATCTTATTTCATTCTTTGATAAAGTGACTAAATTAGTAGACCAGCGAAATGCTGTGGACATAGTATACTTAGATTTCAGTAAGGCATTTGACAAAGTAGACCACAACCTACTCCTTGGTAAGCTAGCAAAAGATGGAAAAGACAACATCACCACCAGATGGATTTGTAGCTGGCTGACAAACCGTACTTAACGAGTAGTCCTCAATGATACCACATCCACACGGAGAGAAGTAAGCAGTGGGGTACCATAAGGCTCCGTCTTAGGCCCAGCACTCTTCAATATCTTCATAAATGACTTAGATGAGGGAATAAAAGGGGAACTCATCAAATTTGCAGATGACACTAAACTGGCAGGAATAGCCAATCCCCCAGAAGACAAGCTCAGGATCCAAAAAGATCTTGGCAAACTTGAACAATGGATCCTAGCCAACAAAATAAATTTTAATGTGGAGAAAAGCAAAGTTTTATATTTAGGCAATAAAAATAAAATGTATAAGTACAGATTAGGCAAGACCTGACTTAAAAACAGTAACTGTGGGAGGGACCTTGGAGTCCTAGTGGATGATCACTTGAATACGAGCCAGCAGTGTGCAGCAGCAGCCAAAAAAGCTAGTACACTCCTTGGTTGTATAAACAGAGGCATAAAATCAAGATCATGCAAAGTATTAGCACCGCTTTGTAAAAGCCTAGTTACTAGTAAGACCACACCTGGAATACTGCAACCAGTTTTGGTCACCATACTACAAAAAGATGTTGAGACTTTGGAAAAAGTTCAGAGATGAGCAACTAAAATGATCAAAGGCCTGGAGGCTAAAACATATGAAGAACGGCTGCAGGATTTGGGTTTGGCTAGTCTAAAGAAAAGAAGAAATAGGGGTGACATGGTAGAAGTATTCCAGTATTTGAGGGGCTGCCACCAAGAAGAGGCAGTCAAATTATTCTTCAAAGCGCCAGAGGGCAGGACAAGAAACAATAGTTGGAGGAGCAACCTGGAATTAAGGAGAAACTTCCTAACAGTGAGGACAATTAACCAGCTTGGAACAGCTTGTTCTCAGAAATCGTGGGCGCTCCATCACTGGATGTTTTTAAGAAGAGATTAGACAGTCACTTGTCTGAAATGGTATAGGTTCTTCTGCTTGAGCAGGGGGCTGGACTAGAAGACCTCCAAGGTCCCTTCCAGCTCTATTCTATTCTAATTTCTTGAACAGTTCTGTCTTGTACAACTAAGGAAATGAGGAATGGGGTGGTTCTTAATCTTTTATATTT